TCTAGAGATCTTGCGACTCGATAGTAATCAAATCACAGGGCCAATTCCAACTTGGTTGGGGACTCTTCCTAGACTGTTTTATATAAGCTTGTCATACAACCAAATTTCAGGTGAATTTCCAAAGCAACTTTGTCGACTACCAAGTTTGCTTTATGAACCTAGTATTGCATCTCAAGTAGACAAATATGAATTTGAATTGCCTGTCTCTGGCAAAAGCATTAGCATAAACGTAAACCAAACTTTTCTACAGCAAAAATTGTATTTTTCACCAGGATGGATAGACGTATCTAACAATAACATTAGTGGTTATATACCTGCTGAGATCGGCCAATTGCAGCTTCTCCGCAAGTTGGCTCTTGACTCCAACCACTTCTCCGGCATCATTCCAGACCAAATATCTAACCTAAAAAATTTAGAGGTTTTTGACCTCTCCACAAATCACTTGTCTGGAATAATCCCATCATCATTGGCGAGCCTTAATTTCTTAAAAGAATTTAATGCCTCATACAATAATCTTGAAGGACCAATTCCAACAGGTACCCAGCTCCAAAGCTTCAATGCTTCTGCCTTTGAGGGGAATCCGAAACTTTGTGGTGCCCCACTTCCAAATAAGTGCGGACCAAGTAAGGGCATTGATGCAGATAACAAGAACAATAAAGACGTGGACAATGGACTTCATCAACTTCCGTGGTTTTATATTTTCGTTTCGTTGGGGTTCATAGTAGGATTTTGGGGAGTCTGTGGTTCTTTAGTTTTTAAAAAGACATGGAGATATGCGTATTTTCAATTCATAGACAAACTACAAGATAGGCTCTATGTGATGATAACCCCCCTCAACAGGATGAAAAGAAGGCTTAGAGGCTAGATATATATTATTAATATTGTACTTTTTATTTTGCATTTTCAGTTTGCTTTACCTTTTTTTTTTTTTTTTTCCTTCTTCTTCATTTCAAAGTAACTGGACTCAAATTTAAAGGATATATGTTGTTCGGTTCATAAAATTATGGGGGAAAAGAAACCCTAAACTCATGCAGACAAGTGAAAATATAATACCATAACCCAGTTCAGCTGGAGGAAAAAATCTATAACATCGTTATGAACTCCTCAGTATGCTGTTTCTGATAGATTTGAAGAAAAGAAAAGATAATATATGATGCTGCTGTCCAATTTATTTCGGAGAAAATAAACTACAAATCTCACAACTCATGGTTTTCTTCCTCCCATGTTTAACTTACAAAACCTTGGGGAACTATTGTGGAGTTTGCATCCATCACATAACCCCTGCAGAACAATAAAATTGTTTACAAACTAAATCCATCACATAACCCCTGCAGAACCAAATCCTTGAGGTTTTTTACTACTGTTAAAAAAAATCATGACACATCCTATACTGCTTATAACAACTCTGCAATAAACAAGTTGTAAGACATTTGCAATTTAACTCGACTGTCTAAGTCAATATCACAACCAGCATGGATATTGGCAAGGCAAATCAGATATTTCCTGTGCTTGACAGCGGATGATATAATTTCTGGTCATGACGAATTCACCTAACAATTTTTTCACATAAAAACGCTGCACTGTCGCCAGATGGACCTCTTCCATATAACATTGGAATGAAGCCGTGAAAACAAATGACCGGACTCTTGCGACTAGTTGGAAAAATGCATCCAAGAGTCCGATATTTTCTCTTCCTACAAACCATCAACACCTCTAGGGATGTGGAAATTTAAGCATACTCCCCTGGTTTCTTGTTGGCCGCATGAACAGAGGATGAGGCTTGCAGGCAGAGCGCTTCCTTTTCTAAGTCTTTTGATTCATGGAGAAACGATACCGTTTCATTTAAGTTTTTATTTTTTATTTATTTTTAAACATATTAAAATAAACAGGGGCAACAGCAAGCAATGGAGCTGTCTTTCCATCTCTTCCTTGCTAATACTGTCTGGAGAGTCAGTATGATGCATTGATTGAACCTCCCTCATCGAGCTTTGCTTCTCGTATGAATTCATGCCAAGTATATAATGGCAGACGTTGAGAATATCAAATTTCTCAGCCATGTCAGCATTCTGTTTTTCCTTTTTCTTCAACCATAAAAACTCATGGCCCTGTAAAAAATTTCCTTTTCTTAGCATGCTGTCTTTTTTCTTATGTAAGTTTGTTTGAAAGTTGAATGAAAGATTTACATGATGATCCATTTTACAATAAAATGTTGAAAATGACAGTTTCAAGTTGTCTTGGTGTGTGTACTCTGAGGGAAACAGGATTAGAAACACAGACCTGCTATAGGAACTTCATCAAACAGGATTTGGAAGATGGTTTATACATAGTTAGAACAAACATATCAAATTTTCTTTTCTTTCCTTTTCCTTTTTTCTCAGTTTCGTGGTGATAAACCGTCATTTAAAATCAGTCCATTATTTGATGTTTTAATGTCATTCGGTTTCCCATGCTTCTTTCTTGTTACTGTATATGGTGCTTTCCTACCCTGACATATATTCTATCGTCTTCATGCTTTGTGTGCATTTCTGCGGTGCCTTTTTGTTGCTTCATTATACAAGCAGATCAGGTTTCCGTTGTCATCCCAATGCTAAAGCTTAAGAATACAACCTCAGATTCTTTCATTGAAATACTTGTCCTTCCTCTCAATTGGTTTGGTGGCAATAGATTAACCAATGTCACAGGAGCAATGAAAATACTAATGTGTTGCACAAGTCTTCGCGCATTCTTCCTTTCAAAATCCTTTATAACTGCGTTGCTTTCAAGCTAACTATAAGAAAATCAAAAAATTAGATGCAAGTGGTTATTGATTCCTGATTACTTAACTTTCGATGAATATTGTATTCAAACAATATTTGTAATTAACGAGTTTGGAAACAAAAACATTAGTTTGTTACTAATCATGGAGGTAACAAAGTATTGATGTTCCTAATCATGTTTGATCACCAAAGACTACTGCCTTCTTAATGTCCGGGATTGACCAAGTGGCGAGCGAAGATGGGGAAAATTGTTTAGGATTGGAATAGGTCAAATTTTCAGTCCCTTATAATATAGTCAAAAATACAATTCATGAAGCCAATAGAGTCTAGTCTAATGGAAAACGGCCTTGATTTGTAAATCAGTGGTCTTAATTTCGAACTCTCATGTCACCTTGATAGTATGTGTATGTGAGAAAACCCCCTCCCCAATAACACTTGTATATATAAAACAAAAGAACAAAGAACAAAAAGAAAGATACAATTCATGAATATATCAGCTCCCAATCCCTATAAAACAAAAGAAAGTGTTACAAACTTACACAAAACTTGGGGCCAAAATCTTCTCAAAGTTCCAATATAATTAAAAACAGGTTTTTGGCAGATTGGACAGTACAAGAAGATAGGCACAAAACATCTTATGTATACCATACGGTCACTACGGATCATGGAATTTTATGCCTTTATGCTTAAAAAAAGGAATCACATCAGAATCCTAGGATAGGATTTATACATGAAAAAGATTTATGCTTGTTCCTCTACAAACTGCCTCATTTATATTAATTGTATTTTGATATCATCAGTGAGGGAAAAGTAATTAACCCCCTCATCATATTTCGAGAAACATTATGAAATTCCTTGGTGAACTCTCATGAATTAAACAAATCCAACAGTTCTACGTTTAATTAATTATGGCCCTTTGTTCACTAGAGGTGGACAATTTGATAATGTAAACAAATGCTTCAAGCATTTCCTATGCAACTATATATTTTAACAGAAGTTTGTGCTTCAAATTAGGCACCTTCTTTGTAATTAACAAGAAATTATACAACAATGCTGGAGTCCGGTCACTTAGTAATGGTGGAACTAGATATAGGCTACCCTCCACTGTAGCCCAGTGCAACCTTGTTCAAAACTACTTTTTATAGCACGTAATTTCAAGATTTTGACATTTAGCCTACCCCAGCCAACTCCCATATGTGCAAATTCTTCACTTTTATGGCTGGGTAGTTAAGAAAGTCGTAGTTTTCTAGTTTTATATCATGTTAATTGAATCATTCAAGTTCAAAAAAATTTAAATTTAGTTGTTCTTGGTTTGACTTAATTTTGTTTTATCGTTTAACAAAATATTAGCCCACCCTTTTGAAAATTTTTAGTTCCACCCTTGCACGTAATATAGCTCATCATAAAGTGTTATAATATGGATGAACTAAGTTGATATTTATCCATTTTAAGTACTATGTGGTCATACTACTATACTACACTGTAAGATAGAGAATTATCAATCTTGCACCAAAAAGAATAAAAATAGGAATTTGTTATAACAAAAGAAAAACATCTTATGTATAAAAATAGGACTTAAAAGAATTTCATTTTATTGCTATCAAGATGGAACAGAGGGATCAAAAGTGAGCAGTGGGCAACAAAAGAAAAACACAAACAAAATAGAAAGTGGGAGAAATTGACAAAATAAACAGAACAAGGTGGTGGGGTCCACATCCACCCTCAACAAGAAAAACAAGAAAAATAACTTTGAACTTGGACTTTGAGTGATTAACATGGAAGATGAGCTGGTATCGGTTATCAGCTGCCTTGTTTGAATTCAACAAGGATTCTGTTTATCACATATATTTTCTTTTTTTCTATTTAGTGAAAAAGAAAAAGAAAAAGGGAAAACGTTTATCACGGCAACAACTTTGAGTACTTTGTGAAGGCCAAGTCCTCTTCTGGTGGCCCAAAGGTTTCAATATCAATAATTTGCATTTTGTGGTTGTTGTTTGCCGACTTCTCAATTTGCAGTGATGTTTGCATCCAAATCTGAAAACGGCATTAGTGGGAATATCCCTTAAGACCCAATGAGTTCTTCTCTCTGGTTTCATTAGTGGGAATATCTCTTCAACCACACAATTTGCATTGTGGTTGTTGTTTGCCGACTTCTCAATTTGTACTGATGTTTGCATCCTTTTCAAGCATAATTGCTCTTATATATGTAAATACATGTGAGCAACGGCACATACACAAAGCAACATGTTAGTGCAAGCTTATAACCTAGTGGCTCATTCCTTCCTTCTCTTCCTCTTATTCTCTTGCATTATATCTACAAATATCCATGCCTGCAAACAAACTGAACACAGCTCCCTCCTGTCCTTTGCCTCCACTCTATCTTCTCCTCCTTTAAATTGGACATCCCTTGATTGTTGTCGTTGGAAGGGCATCACTTGTGATCAAGATGGTTGGGTCACCCGTTTGCTCTTACCTTCCAAAGGGCTCAAAGGAGGTATCTCTCCCTTTTCACTTGCAAATCTCACCCATCTCACCCACTTGAACCTTTCCCACAATTCACTGTATGGTTCACTTGAAACTCAATTCTTCTTGTCTTTGAATCAACTTGAGATCCTTGATTTGAGCTATAACCGTCTTTGTGGAGAACTACCACTTTCTCTACCATCTATTAATATACGGACAGTTGATTTGTCCAGCAATCACTTCTTTGGTGCAATTCCATCTTCATTCTCATTCTTCTTGTCTTTGAATCAACTTGAGATCCTTGATTTGAGCTATAACCGTCTTTTTGGAGAACTACCACTTTCTCTACCATCTATTAATATACGGACAATTGATTTGTCTAGCAATCACTTCTTTGGTGCAATTCCATCTTCATTCTTCCAACAAGCAAGCAACTTGACTAGTTTCAATGTCAGCAACAATACCTTCACAGGGTATGTCCCATCATCTATTTGTCTCCAACATTCTTCTCCCTTCCTTAGGCTATTGGATTTTTCTTCCAATGTATTCAGCGGCAACCTTGCTCCTGGGCTAGGGAAGTGTTCCAAACTGCAGGTTTTTCGTGCCGGTCACAATAACCTCTCAGGATTATTTCCAAAGGATATTTATAATGCTACAAAACTTGAAGAAATTGCATTACCTCTCAATTCACTACATGGAGCCATTAGTGATAAAATTATCAACCTCACTAACCTCGCAACCCTTGATCTCTACTATAATCATTTTGGCAGCGAGCTTCCTCTCAATTTGGGGAAGCTATCTAAGTTGAAGTTTGTGAACTTTGATTTCAACAATTTAGAAGGTACTTTGCCCCCATCTTTGATGAATTGCACAAAACTTGTAGAATTGCGTTTGGGATCCAACAACTTGGAAGGAGATATCTCCATGCTTGATTTTTCCAGACTTAGTCAACTTACTAAACTTGACCTAATGATGAATAACTTCACTGGTACGGTTCCAGTAAGCCTTTACTCATGTCGGTCCTTAAAAGCCATTCGGTTGACTTGGAATCATCTAGAGGGACAAATAGAAGCTGAGATTCTTTCATTGAAATCCCTGTCCTTCCTCTCTCTTGGTTACAATCAATTCACCAACCTCACAGGGGCAATGAAGATATTTTTGAGTTGCAAAAGTCTTCACGCACTCTTGCTTAGTGGTTCGTTTGTGGGTGAGGGAATGCCATCTGATGATGACATGGTTGATTTTCATGGATTCCAAAATCTTCGGGTCTTGGCTTTGGAAAGTTCTAACCTCACTGGTCAAATACCTCTATGGTTATCAAAGCTCAAGAATCTAGAGATCTTGTGTCTAAGTTCTAATCAAATCACAGGGCCAATTCCAAGTTGGTTGGGGACTCTTCCTAAACTATTTTATATAAGATTGTCAGACAACCGAATTTCAGGTGAATTTCCAAAGCAACTTTGTCGACTACCAAGTTTGCTTTATGAACCTAATATTGCATCTCAAGTAGACGAATATGAATTTGAATTTCCTCTCACTAGCAACAGCGTCAGCATAAATGGAAATCAAACTTTTCCACAGCAAAAATTGTATTTTTTACCAGGATGGATAGACGTATCTAACAATAACATTAGTGGTTATATACCTGCTGAGATAGGCCAATTGCAGCTTCTCCGCAAGTTGGCTCTTGACTCCAACAACTTCTCCGGCATCATTCCAGACCAAATATCTAACCTAAAAAATTTAGAAGTATTGGACCTTTCCACGAATCACTTGTCTGGAATAATCCCATCATCATTGGTGAGTCTTAATTTCTTGAAAGAATTTAATGCCTCATACAATAATCTTGAAGGACCAATACCAACCGCGCATTCTTCCTTTCAAAATCCTTTATAACTGCGTTGCTTTCAAGACTATAAGAAAATCAAAAAATTAGATGCAAGTGGTTATTGATTCCTGATTACTCACTTTCGATGAATATTGTATTCAAACAATATTTGTAATTAACGAGTTTGGAAACAAAAACATTAGTTTGTTACTAATCATGGAGGTAACAAAGTATTGATGTTCCTAATCATGTTTGATCACCAAAGACTACTGCCTTCTTAATGTCCGGGATTGACCAAGTGGTGAGCGAAGATGGGGGAAGAATAGGTCAAATTTTCAGTCCCTTATAATATAGTCAAAATTACAATTCATGAAGCCAATAGAGTCTAGTCTAATGGAAAACGGCCTTGATTTGTAAATCAGTGGTCTTAATTTCGAACTCTCATGTCACCTTGATAGTATGTGTATGTGAGAAAACCCCATCCCCAATAACACTTGTATATATAAAACAAAAGAAAAAAAAACAAAAAGAAAGATCCAATTCATGAATATATCAGCTCCCAATCCCTATAAAACAAAAGAAAGTGTTACAAACTTACACAAAACTTGGGAAATCCTCAACATTTCATCCAATTTGCCGTTAAATATGTGGGAAAAATTCGTCAAATTTGTACATAAAAAATAACTAAATACTGAAAAATAAAATAACATGAAATATGAAATAGAAAAAATAGAAGAATTTTAATAAAAATCAACCCAACACTCCCACAGCCTTCTCTCTCTCTCTCTCTCTCTCTCTCTCTCTCTCTCTCTCTCTCTCACA